ATGTATGGATTGGGATGAGTCGTATGAGCCCCTAATAGAACGATTAAAAAAAGAAATGGAGTCTTCAGCAGAACCCACCTTCCCCCCGTCAGTTCCCCAACACTTCCACTCAGCATCCTCAGATTGGGGTGGGGAAGACCAGCCACTGCACCAGGCAGTCCACCCAGCGTCTCCAAGACTGCTCAGCTACCGCTTGTCACTCCTCTTGAAGAAAACCTGTGGGCTAATTTCAAAAACTGCCATCAAGAACAGAAAATGTCCCTGGCACCAGAAGGGGCAGAGAGCATGAAAGACCAGAGCAGCTGAGTCAGATGTGAGCGGCCACTCAGGTTTCTCCAGTTTCCGTCACAGGGCTGTTGAAGGTGCCATGGGCCCAGGCTGCAGAGAAGCCTTGTTTCCGAAGCCTTCCTTTCACGTGGCAATGGCTGAAAAATGACAAACTGGCACAAGGCACCAAACGCAGCCGTCAGTCTTACTTGCTAAGCAATTTGATGAGACCTAAAGTTCCTACTTCCAGAAACAGGTCCTCAACAAGCCAGGGTATGTTTTTAAAGTCAACGGCTTGTTCGCGAGCTGGTTTTGACAACTTGGAATGGGAAATCCTTTTCTTGAACTGTTTCCTGTGAAATGGAAAACGGTGGGGCCCAGAGAGGGTGCTCCGCGTCTCAGCCCTGCCAGCCTGGAGCGGAGTCCTTGGACCTCTAACAATCACCAAACTTGGATAGGCAGGCAGAAAGCGAAACTTTGTTCGCTCTTTTTGTTTTAAGTAAGTTTTTTTTTCTCTGTGAGAAATCCTTAACCTTTTTCCCGACTGGATAGGGTGGTCATCACGTGATCAGGGGAGAACTCCTGGGGCGTAAGTCCTGGGGCGCAGAGCCTAGTATGCCAGGCTCTGAGGTCATGGACATGTAGGCAATACTTAGATTCTCAACAGTGATGCGAGGATCGCAGTTAACACCCCTAGAAGATGTTTCAAGGATAGCTGTACTTCTGGACACAGAGCACAGGACAAAGGCAAGCCAAGGCCCAGATGTTCAGTTCCCACACTAGCTCAGTGTTTTGCTAATCTACAACAAGCCTCACATCTAGGGGTTCAAACCCCTGTCCTACCTCAATCAAACCACTATGTATTAGGAACTTTCAGGGCCTTTGAAAACTAGTCAAGACAGGAAATAGTACATCCCTAAAAGGTAAATGCCTACCTTTACCTTTTGGTGTTCCCCAAAAGTTGCAGAGGAGAAAATGTAGTAAGCCAATGAATATTCCTATATCCAAGAATGTTAATTCACGTTTATTTTATTTTAGTTATAAAAGAACCGCTAAAACACAAAGGTAAAAAACACACAAGCAGACGACAAAGTTTTATTCCTTCTTTTGTTGCAGAAAATAAATATGATCACATATTTCATATGCTTGTCTATAAAAGCACTTCTAAAAATGTCATTTACTGGATTTAACAGTATCATCTTTTGTATCAATTGAAGGTACACAGTAGATAATTTTATTTTATTATCATCAAGCACTTGGGCCCAAGCAACTTTGCATAAAGACTGTTTGTGAGCTGAAAAATCTTATTCTAATTGCTTTTTTAAAAATAACTAAAACAACAACGACGACAAAAATCCAGGTTTTAATTTTACAGGAGAATAAAGTTTTTCTTTTATAAAAATGGCTCCAAAAAAGTCGCAAAGACCCAAACCCAATGACAAAGTACTCTGTCTTCATAGGAATTAACCAGAAGAACAGGGGGTTGGGGAGAAAACAAATTGGCTCTTGTGAAATAAGCAACGCCAAGCATCTTCCATTGCAGCCCACAGTCCGGTCTGTTCATTCCAGTTTGGCCCCTGGAGGTTCTACGGAGAGAAGCTGATCAGTCGTCTAAGCCTATGTTTCTGAAAAGGTAGGACATCGATTCTCCATTGTGAATCCGGCGGATGGCTTCTGAAAGGATCATGCTGATGTCCACAGTTTTAATTTTGGGACACTGAAGTTTCTGGATTTCATGTGGAATTGTGTTGGTCACCACCACCTGTGGATAAAGAGGAAAAAACCCAACAACATCAGAGAGACTTCACTTGATTGGAGGCTCTACTTGATGAGAGGGCAGTGGGTCACTGCACGCTCAACAATCAGTGTGAACGCGGCCTGAGCGGCTTAGACAAGATCTGGTCGTGCAGCACCCACTAAGACGGCTACAAGGTACCCTGGTGGCAGAGTGCGCGATGCCTTGTTCCCACGTGGATTTCTAGCCTTGGAAACCCTAGGGAGTAAGAGCTCCTTTGTCCTACAAAGTCCCTGTAAGTCAGCAGTGACTTAGGGCTGTGGTTTTTGTTGTTATTTCAGATGGCTAGAGTACAAAAGACAGTAACAAGTGCTGGTGAGAACATGGGCAAATCAAAGGCCTCAGACAGAGCTGGTGGGAATATAAAATGGTGCAGCTGGTTTGGAAAGCGGCTTGGTAGTTCCTCAGATGGTTAGAGTGTTACCATGGGACCCAGCATTCCACTCCTAGACGTATACCCAAGGGAACGAAAGAGTCCACACCCAACCTTGTACAAGAAGGCTCATGGCAGCATGATTCAGACCATCCAGAAGGTGGCAACCACCCAAATATTCTTCAATGGGATACTGAATACTATTCAGGGGAAGAGTACAGCTTTTCATCCACGTATGAACCTCAAACACATTACTCAACTTTATATGGAATGATCAGAGTAGGAGGTCTAATACTGCTTGATTTTAAAACACGCTATACAGTTCCGGGACTGTGTAACAATCGATACACAATGAAATAGACTGAGAAGCCCCAAGAGACCCACACATCTAGGATCAACTGATTTTTTTACCAAAATGCCAAGGGAAAAGAGTCTCGTCAATAAATGATGTTGGAAAAAATAAGTAAATAAAATAAAATAAATAAATAGAATGAATAAATGAATGAATGAATGGTGCTGCGAAAACTGATTTCCCCACACAGAAAAATGAAACAGGATCCATGCCTCACACCATACCCCGCCCCCCAAAAAAAATCCAAAGTGGATTCAGGACCTAGCTGTGCAAACTAAGACCAGAAATCTCTTAGAAGAAAATGTTGGCACAATGCTGTCAGGTCCAGCTTTTAACAGTAAAATATCTAATGTAATAACAAAAGCACAAACAACAAGAGACAAAATAAGTGGGACCTCATACAAAATCAAAAACTTTTGTACACCAAAAGATTTTATTTAAAAAGTGCAAAGACAAACTGGGAGAGTATCTTCAAAAACCATATTATCTGATAAGAATCTAATAATCAAAATATACAAAAACGAAGAACTTTGATATCTTAACAAAGAGACAAATATCTCAAACATAAGATGGGCAAAGAAATTGAAGAGACATTTCCACCAAAGGGAATATATTCAAATGGCCACCAAACTCATGAAAGATGCTCAGCATCATTCGAGAGACCATTTCACTTCCACGAAGCGGGCAAGATTAAGACAAATAACAACAGGAAATAACAAACACTGGAGAGGATGTGGAAAACTGGTTCCCGGACCCACTGATGGTGGGAATGCAAAATGGAACAGAAAACTCTGCACTGGTTCCTCAAAGTCTAAAAATAGAATTGCCCTATGACGCAGGATTTTCACTCCCAGGTAGACTCCCAAAAGACTTAAAAAGACGTGTACACCAATGTTCACCGCAGCACTAGTCACAATGACCAAAGGGTAGAAAGTGCCAAAATGCCTGTCCGCAGAGGAAAGAATACGCAAAACGTGACACATGCGGGCATCCAGCCAGTAGAGGAAACGAAGGCTCTTTTGGGGAACTTTTGGGGAACGTCTAGCTGAACAAGTTTTTAATTTTTATGATGTCCTATTTGTCTTTTGCTATTTATGCTTTTGTTTTTACATTAGACAATCCATTTATTGAAAGTTATATCTGCTAGCATTAGCCCTTTCCTGAGTTGCTGTTTTTTTTCCTAAGGAATTTAAGGTTTCAGTTGGCATCTTTAGATGCTCGATCCACTCAGAATTTATATAGTGTATGGTGTGAGGGAAGGATGCTGCTTCATTTTGTTTGTGAAAATGGAATTTTCTTAGCACCTTTTATTTCTTCATTCACCATTAAATGGACTTGGCACCCTTGTCCCCTCAAAAATGGGTTTCTTTCTATATGCTCATCCTACATAACTGGTTTGTATGTCTACTGCTATACCTCTCTCAGGCTGCTTTGATCACTGTAACTGGCCAGTTTGCTTTATAATCAAGATGTGTGAGTCTGAGCAATGTGCTACAATGTGGGCGAAATCTGAAGGCATTATGCTGAGTGAAGTAAGTCAAGCACAAAAGGCCACATGTGAGAAGGCTTCAAAAAAGCTTGTGGAAAATGAATAAAGATCATGGAAATGTTTCTATTGCAGGACCTCACTTATTCAAAGAAACATGCAAATGCACAGATATCGAGAGCATGGGTACGAGTGATTACCGGGAATGGGCACGAGTGGTGTTGGAAGTACCACATTGACTAAGGGTATGGCGGCACAACCAGTCACTGGCATTGTCCTCAGGAAGTTGCACACATGCGAAAAGCTGAACTGGCAAAATCGCGTGATCTGTTTACAACGGTAACAGCCGCCGCCACCAAAAAAGGGTGGCTGCCGACGTTGACTACGGACAGCAAAAATCCTCCTGCAATTCGATCTCTTCGTTTGAAGGCTTAGGGTCACGGTTTCACGGAACATCCTCGTTAACTGGCCTAATGGTGTGCTTAATGCTTCTGTTCTACCTTGTAGTTGGTTGTGTAGTTCCCGGGGCCGCTGGCAAGTAGCCGCCTGAAGGACAACAAATGATCTCTTTTGGGCAAGAATGCAAAGGGAAAAGGAGCGGATATGGAATGTCTGGCTACCTGCCTCTGTGAGCAACTCTCTCCTTTGCCAGGAGACCACAACAGACAGCAAGAAAACGCAGGCGAGAAGGTCGCCTTCTCCTGGACACCAGGCTTCTGGAGTGGGGAAGCTAGCAAGGATCCTGAAACTACGGCCTTGAGATGCACTTTTAAATCGAAATTTAAAATATTCTGACATTTTAAAACCCAAACTACAGTTTAGTTGAACTAGTAAAAAAGATCTGCCTTGAGCATTCTGCTCGTTGAAGAACTGTGTAGGAGAGCCGACAATGATAACACCAGCAACGCAACAGATGAGAGCGGAACCTGAAGGTTCGGTGAGTTTGTCTCAGAGGGGAACACCTTGGAAAAAGGGGCTGAGAATGGTTGTACACCCCGAAGAGTGTCATCAACATCGTTCGGAGGGAACTGTTAAACTAGTGCGATGCTCTGCTGTGTGTATTCTAGTCCCAACAATAACATGCATTTTTAAATGCTTAATTAATTAAAAAAAAACCTGTGCTAAAGGAAAGACCACATATTGCACAGCTCCATGTGTATGACATATAGAAAATGAGTAACTCCTACAGAGACAGAGAGCAGATGAACGGTTGTCAGCCGTTGGGAAGACTGGGCAGAACTGAGGGGGGCTGCTGATGGGGTGGGGTTTCTTTAGAGGATGACCAAAGTACCACGCTGTCACGTGGCTGTGTAACTGTGAAACACTCCAAAAACTGACTCATACAATTTAGATGGATGAATTACACAGTATCTAAGTTATATTATCAATAAGCTGTTAGGAAAAAAGTTGGGATTTGATAAAAAACATAAAAGTAGAAGGACAGACATTTCAAAAGCTACATATAGAAAACAAATTTAAAATATCCTTCTGAACAGAAAAACCGGGAATGGGAGCAACTTTTTATTATTACACTCTCCACTTTCACAAAGGACTCGAGAGTTTATTAAAAATAACTATCACAAGGAATGGTGTCTGGGATCTTAAAGGCTTGCTTTCACGCAAGCAGCCATCTAAAGGAGGCGTTAACTAAGCCCACATGAAAGAAGCCACCAGCCTGTGTGATCCAAGGACCGTAAGTAATCCAGTCCAAGTCCACAGCAGGGGTTGGGATCAGAGGTTACATTGTGAACAGCGAGTCTGCAGAAGGCTGGGAAGGCCAGTGTCTATTTGCGGGGTCTGCACATGGACCAAACCCCTGGGGGTGCCTCTGACCAGGGATGTGAATAGGCTTTCTATCACACAGAATGCAGCTAGGTTAAAAGTTACCACCTTATCATTTGATCTCCCTTTTGATCCGTTTTAAATTGGTTCTAGTTTTTAGTATTTTCTGCTTTCTTTTCAATTGAGGTTTTAACTGTTTTGTTTTGTATTGTTGTTAGGGTTTTGTTATGTTTTGCATGTTTTTCTGCATGTGAAATCCAGGATAGATAAATCTAGAGAGTCACTGGCTGAACGGTTCCATGAGGGGTCGCTGTGAGTGGGCACTGACTCCCTGTGTCTGTGAGCCTGAGCTCCAGCTTGAACTTGAGCTTGGGTTTGGGGTGTGGCAGGGGAGGTGGGGGGAGAGATGGAGAACGAATGATGAGTACGAGAATGAAGAAAATGTTCTCAAGCTCATTGTGGTGATGATTGTACAATTCTTCTTAGTGTGACTGAACTACTGAATTGCGTGATATATGAATTATATACCACTGAAAATGTTAAAGAAAGGAATGAAGTACAAGCACAATGAGATTTCAGAATCGAAATGGGCAGTCAAGAGTCACTCGGCATAAGTAAAGGAGCACAGAAAGCTAGCCCAGTGCAGAGGCAGGAGTGTGCATGTGATCCTCCTGACAGCTGGAAACACACTGGACACACGAAGGGCCTCAGTACGTCTCATGACCTGTGAAAAAGAACACAGTCCCTGAAGAGAAAAGTGACCTTTCCACTGCTTCCAGACTCGAGGGAACTGACCAGACAACCCCATGGGCATCATTTTGGCAAGCCCAGGTGAAGCAGACCACCGCAGCACATGCCCACAGCACCCTGTCTGGGCAACATGCCTTGCAGTGTGCATCTGGTGGTCCTGACGTGAGCCGGTTTTTCCGTACCATACAAAGAGTCTTCAAAAAGCGCATGGAAAATGTGTACTATGAAAAACCCTTACAACTTGCTAGAAGATGTTTGAACAGGATTTCGTCTGAGGCACTGAGAAGAATGAGACATCCGTTTGAAAAGAGCCCCTATCAGACCAACACGGATGCTGCTAACATTTCAGCACAAACACCAAACGTATGGTGAGGCCTGGGCGGAAGAATTGGGAAATGGATGCTTTAGGGAAAGCATGTGGGAACAAAATGCCTCAAAGAAATCGGCAGCTTACAAACGGACAACTCGTTTTTGGAAGGAAAGAGACACTGAAGCTGAAGCCCACAGCAACAGACCGTCCAGATCCATTTGCGAGGGGGGCAAATTCAATCTCGTTCATAACTCTTAATGGAAAAGGACCAACAATTACCATGAAACAGCAGCTAACACAGACATAACCATAGACATCTCAGTGGGAGCAGCAGAAGACAAGAGCAGAGCTTTCGATGGAAGTTTAAGCAAGTGGGATCAAGGTCCTGAAGGCTTTCTTGAAGGATTTGTAATCACGGCCACCAAGAGGTGGAAGTGATCCAGTCAAGGGCAAATGCCTTGGCAACGGTTTGGGGGCTGCTCGGGCATTCTGCTTATTGACTTTCTGGAGAGCCAGAGAAAGATAACCAAACTGAGCCCACTGCCACCGAGTCAAGGCCACTTCGGAGGAGCCCTTCCTGAGGCAGGGCTCCTGGCTGTAAAGCTACAGGAGCTGACAGCTCCAGCTCCATCCCAAGGACCCCTGGTGGTTTTAAAGCGCTGCCTTGCAATCAGCAGTGCCTAACACCACTGAGCTCCTTCCAGAGTGGTGACATCTGCTTATTTAAGAGGGTTTTGTGAAAGTTATCCAAAGCTTTAGTAGGAAAACACCCGAAAGTGGGGAGCGAGCTCTAGAACTGATGGTGCTGATGCATATACAACTCATTTTAAAAGCAATTTAACCATGGAAGTGTAGGATATGTGAATACTATATCAAGTAAACTTCTGGGGGAAAAAGAAAGAAGGAAACCGAACTTGACCAGGGGTTACCATGGGTAAAGGAGAGAGAGCGGTTACCAGGGGCACTGAGCTGTTGTGAATGGTGGTGGAACAATTTGGAGTAGGATACCAATCGTGGTTGTACAACACTAAGAGCATCATCAACGGCACTGAATTTTACATGTCCAAATTTTGGAACTGGAGAATGTTTTGTTGTGTACATTTTTGCCACAATTAGAAAAAAATGACATGAATAACAATGAGTACAAGGAAGAACAATATGTTCTAGAATTGAATGTGGTGAGAACTGTACAACTCTCTTGATAGGAGGGAATTATTAAATTGCATGACATGAGGATGAAGCATTAATAAAGCTGTTTGAACAAACAAAAGAGCTCCCGAGAGAAGCTTCTCCACAACTATGCCCCTGCTCATGCCTCTCATCAAACAAGTGCGAGCTGGCAAGCGATCCGACGGGAACCCATTAGGTACACACTGTGCAATCCTCTTTTTGTTTCCTACGCTTAAAAAATTCTCTAAAGGGCACTCATTTTCCTTCAGTTAGTAGTGTGAACAAGACATGGCTGAATTCCCAGGGCCCTCAATGCTTCAGGGATGAACTAAATGGCGCGGTGTCATTCATTACTCACAAAGTGTCTGGAATTTGATGAGTCAATATTGACTCGGTGGCAGTGAGTTTGTTTCTTTTTTTCATGTCAAGGAAAAGTTTACATTTAAAATTCTTATCTTTTAACTCTATTTTTCCATAAACTTTTTGAAGTCCCCTCATATTAAGCACTGCCACTGGGGAAGGAATTTTCCAAATTTATTTTAATCACTTTTCAAGCGTTTTATTGAGATAGCCACACAGTATCGCAAAGCAGCCACTGGAAGGGCCGTGCCACCATAATCACATCGATTTCAGAACAATGTCTTTACTTGAAGAAGGAAGCCTCTCCCTGATTGTTTTTCCCTCCCCCACGCTCCTGGCAATCACGTCTCCTGTCTGTCTCTCTAAGTATGCCTACTCTGGATGCTTCATTTAACCGCTTCTAATGAAACTGTTAGGATGGGGCAGGACGGGGCAGTGTTCTCTTCCGTGGGACATGGGGTTGAGGGAGCCTGGGTGGCGAAATGGGTTAGGCATTTGAGCTGCTAGTGGCAAGGTCAGTAGTTTGAACTCACCAGCAGCTCAGAAGGAGAAAGATGAGGCTGTCTACTCCTGTCAAGATTTAAAGTCTTGGAGCCCCGAGTCTCGTCTGTCCTACCGGATTGCTACGGGACAGCATTGTCTCGATTGCAGCGAGTTTGCGTTTAGGCAGTGAGGGTCTGGGTTGCTATGAGTTGGAACCAAATCGACTACGCCTAACAGTACCAACAACAATCACATAAGGACGAAACCCTTCCGGCTCTTGATTCACCCGCCCACACTCTCACTGCTGGCTGCCTGCTTTGACAGATGAGATCCGCACCTCTCCATCTTCCCGCCCTCTTCTCAGACGTTATTTCTACATTTGGCTATAGCTTTAAAATCTGCTGTGTGACTGTGCTGTCTGCAGGTTTGTGTGAAAACCAGCTCAGCTCCTAAACAGAATGGACAAACTAATTCGGGGTTAGCCATTAGCTACACAACTGAGTAACCATCGAGGAGCAATCAACTCACAAGTACCATGGAGTTCCCCAAATGCTCTCCCCTGAAGAGCTGCCATACACGGTTCAATTATAGCTGCTGCTTCTAGTGCCCAGGCCTCTACTCCAAATCTCACTCTGCTGGATGAGGACCTGTTACCAGCTGTCGCCTCTACCTCCCCACAGCCTGCTCGCTCTCCTCTGCCCACAGACACAGGCTCGTGAGAGCTGTCTGGTGAGGGGTGGACGGGCTCAGGCAGGTGTCTTCCCACTGCATTCACGTGTGAGCTCGGGGACCCTGATCTCGCCTCTGAGTCTTCGCTCTTTCTTTCCAGTCATGCCTTGTCCCGTCCAGTGTGGAAAGCACACTCCTGTCCGTCCATGTGTGCGCCCAAGTCATGCCCCAAGGAACTAAGTCGTGCCAAACGACCACAGCTGATCATTATCATCAGAGCCACTGTAACGAGAGACGGACCTTGACAGAACAGGGGGAAATGTGTGAAAGCACCCCAACTCCTGAACAATAGATAAAGCCCCCCAACCAAACATCCTGAACCCTTGAATCCTTGAACCCAAACCAAAACCAAAACCAAGCTGAGGTCGTCTTGTAGCTGAATTACAAACTGGCTCAAAACAATGAACATCACCTATAAATACTGTGCTTCTTTTTAAAAAAAAATCACCTTGAGACCAAAGTGATCAGCAATCACTTCACAACAAAGATGAGGATTGTCAAAGGGCAAGGACGCGAGATAAATGGAAACAGAACGCCAGAATGAAAAGAGAAGGAGCATTCAAGCAACCTGACGACAGCAACCACGGGCACTGACATTAACGAACGGACACCTGCATGGAGGAGTCCGCACGGCCGTTAGGGCCCTTGGTTGGTGTTTCCAACCCACCAGCCACTTAGAGCACTTCCCCCTTCCCCTTCCTCTCCAAATGCCACCAAGGGGACCTGCAGTGTGGAAAGAGCTGAGATTTGAGCGACATGTTGGACTGAGCTACCATTTGTTCGTCTCCATGGTGACAGCTTCACCCTCCCACGGCTGTGGAATGAAGGTGCTGACAATGCATGTAAAGCACCTGGCAGGGTGCCCTGTATGGAACGAGGGCTCGGTTTTGTACTTACCAGGATTCCTTACCTGGAACCATGGGCAAAACACTCCGTGAGGTTGGGCGACAACCATTTCAAAGCCACTCCTCCCCCCCCAGGTACCCGCTCTTCTGAACCACATCTCAGACCTCTGGAGCGCCAGGGCAGCCCCAGTCGGCAGCAGGCTGGTACCTCATCGATGGCAGATTCTTCGATCAGCCGAGGGGCGTCTGAGGATAACAGGCCATGGGTCGCCATCACGAAGATCTTGTACGCCCCCCTTTCCTTCAGGGTCTCCGCTGCAGCCAGGAAGCTGTCCACATCATCGATGATGTCGTCCTGCAAGGGACAGAGTGAGCACAGGGCAGGGGAACGCCTCGGCCGGGGGCAGAAGGGATCTAACGCCACGGTAACAAGCATGCTGGGGACGAGTGGCTGCAGCCGGAACAGACGGCTCGCTCCCAGGCTCCCGTCACTGTGCCGTTTCCTGTGAATCTGTAATGACTTTAAGATGCAGCTGTTTTGTTTTTTAAGCACGGTCGTAATAGGAAAAACGTGTACTACTGAATTCAGAGCATCCTTCCGTCACTATATATTCTGTTCATCATGGAACCAGTGGTGGTACAGCTGTGGTCCTTCGAGGGGCTTCAGGGGGTGTGTCCTTGACAAAGTTGAAACCACCAAGTGCTGATGGGGAGGCTGGCCAAGTGGCAGCACCTTGGGATGTTCTGGCGCGTGCACCCTCAGACGCTATAACTCCCCCCCGCCCCCAGGCCCTGGAGCCACGTGCACGAGGGCACCAGGAAATAGGCACAGGAGCGTTCGCAGCAGTAGTCTTCAAAAAGGGTGACAGACTGCGGTCAACACCTGCAGCGAAGAGGCGTGGGCTGCACAGTAACTCCCAACTGCAAGGCACCCCCGCAGATGAATCTCCACGAGAGCGCCGAGAAAGAAAGACACAAAGACTTCCTTTCTGTACACAGCAAGCGATGCAAAGCAAAGTGACACAGTGTTTGAGGAGCCAGGGGTAGGAGGCGAGCGACAGCCGCAGAGGAGGGGGCAGCGCTGAGGTCCTTGAGCTGAGAGTCCAGGGTTCATTGTACTGTCATTCTTGGAACCACGCAGACATTAAACACACTTTTTTCATGCCCTGCTTTTATCCAGGGCGAGAGGATGTGCATTTTAAGCAACTACAACTCATTTTATGACCCACTTTTATCACACGCAAAATTTCCCATGCTATTATTACTAATGACATTCACTGTGATTATTTTCCACTTTTAATAAAAAGGAAACACTTAGCACACAGTGCACCAACTCAACGGAGAGCCATCTGCTCTCCCACAATCCCCAGGCCTCTTCTGTGTGCACACAGATGCAGGACAGGAACATAAATACGCAAAGTAGCAGGAAGAAGTCGACATACCACAATGATAGCAATCCTTCCTCCGACGTCGCCAACCACTGTGATTGGAGGCTTTTCTTTCGGAATCAGCACTGGTCAGAATGAAACAAACACAAAGTCTCTGCGTTAAAAAGTACGCCACCCCTTTAGAGAGCCAGCAGCTCTTCAAGAAAGAAAAGAGGAGGCCGTGTTCTGGGCCAGAGCTTCTCAGCCTTAGCTGCTGTTTGGGGGCGACGGTTCTGTTTGGGGAGGATGGTGAGCATCATCTTTATTACTAGATGCCAACAGCAGTCCCTACAGTTGTGACAATGGAGAGTGTCCCCAGGCATTGCCAAACGCCCCCCCCGCCCACCACCAAAGTTCTATCTACATTAATAGAGACACAGAGCAATCAAGTGTAATACATCAACCAAGGTGAATCTTGGTTGGTGGCGGGGACAGAAAAAGGCAAAACAAAACAAAACAAAGCGAGATAGAACACCAGGGTCTTTTTCACATTTTTAAAAACACTTCTGTTCTCAGACACTATAGGAAATACTTTTTGACCCATTAATAAAGTATGAAAAAGCCCTTTCCCCAAATGTGTTTGTTGCCTCATTTTTGTTCTACTGGAAAAGGACAGGAGACAACATAAATGCCCCAGGCCAGGCGGCAGCTGGACAGTCTAGGACATCCAGGATTTGGATGCTACACTGCCAAAAAGCTCTGTTGACAAAAGTTTGGAATAAGCTGGGAAATGACACCTAAGTGGATGAGACATGAAGCCATTTAGCAGCGCCCTCCGCCCTGCCAAAGTCAGATAACTGGACTGGGGGAGGCTAGCCAAGCACAGGAGCGGTGCATCTTTGAGTCACCAGGCACCCTTTTCCTGTGATGCATTATCCATGCTTTGAATAAATGTATGCTATGATGCTATTCTGGACAAGTACTGTTTCCTTTTGTGGTTGGTTTCCCTCCCCCACTCCCAATAAGACACTACAGACTATAAAATCATTTAAAAATCTAGTATCGTCAAAATCTTTCTATTAAAAATTTTATAGGAATAATGCTTTCTTTTTCCTTATACATCTATTTGCTACTAACTTAAACAAGCATTATACACAGGGTCACATCATCAAAGTACAAATATTTAGGATCTGTGAAATTATAATGATAGCCCATCTCAAAAAATGGTCCTCCACAGAGCATGTACACAGGTACAGATAAGAGATACCAGGAGGGTAGGGGGAAAGTGAGGAGAGGAGGGGAGGAAGGGG